TCTATTTTATGTTTGCTGAAAGTATTTTTAGGCATATCATAGATTTTTCTCACATCATTTTTACATACACATAAAGAAATTAAACGAAATAAATTGATTAAGGTATTCTAAGGACTTCTTCACCTTTGTAGCCCAAGTCTTTTTAAACACTTTCTTGAATTGTTAGTTACCTTTTGTGTTTTCCCATACAATACTGTTCTCTCTACCAGAGAGAGGAATGGTGATTTCTTCAAGCCATTTTTGGTTTTCGTTTTTTGAGACAGAGTCTCACTCTATTGCCCGTGCTGGAGTGCAGTGCCGCGATCTCAGATCACTGCAACCTCCACCTCCCGGGTTCAAGCAATTCCTGCCTCAGCCTCCTGAGTAGCTGGGATTACAGGTGTGTACCACCACGCCGGCTAATTTTTGTATTTTTAGTAGAGATTGGGTTTCACCATGTTGGCCAGGCTGGTCTCAAACTCCTGACCTCAAGCAATCTCCCCACCTTGGCCTCCCAAAGTGATGGGATTACAGGAGTGAGCCAACGTGCCTTGCCCTTAAGGTTGATTTAATAACATATCTTTTTTTTTTTCTTTTTGAGATGGAGTTTCACTCTGTTGCCCAGGCTGGAATGCAGTGGTGCAATCTTGGCTCACTGCAACCTTCACCTCCCAGGTTCAAGTGATTCTCCTGCCTCAGCCTCCTGAGTAGCTAGGACTACAGGCGTGCACCACCATGCCCGGCTAATTTTTTGTATTTTTAGTAGAGACAGGGTTTTGTCATGTTGGCCAGGCTGGTCTCGAATTCCTAACCTCAACCAATTTCTCAGCCTCCCAAAGTGCTGGGATTACAGGCGTGAGCCACCATGCCCGACCTTAATACCATATCTTGATTTTTAAATCTACCACCTTCTATAGCGTTTTTTCGTTTTTTTGTTTTTTTAGACAGGTTCTCATTCCGCCGCCCAGGCTGAACTGCAGTGGTAAGCTCACAGCTCACTGCAAGTTTGATTTCTTGGGCTCAAGAGATCCTCTTGCCTCAGCTTCTCAGATAGCTAGGCCCACAAGCAAGCCACCATGCACAGTGATTTTTTTTTTTTTTTTTTTGGTAGAGATGCGGTTTCATTATGTTGCTCAGGCTGGTAGGGCTTTCTATTTATCCTGCCTCTCTCACCTTTTAAATTTATTTTTGATTGATGGAGAATGTTTTACACTCGTTTCTAATCTGTTAGTGCTTATTCTAGACATAACTAGGACAATTAATTTAAACACTTAACTCTACTTCTTAATAAGGCCTCAATAAACACCAACTGCATTTAAAAAAAAAAAAAATGTTAAGTCTGCCAGCACATTAGGCAAAAAAATAATGACACAAAAATCTCTTTAAATGCCAAGATGTCAAATGTGTCTGCATGAAAGGAATAACAGTAAGTTTACTAGGTTTACAGATTTTCATGAACGAGAAAATATACAAATATCCATATAGAAGAAAGAAAGATGAGTAATAAGGACAGGCAACGGAAAGAAGGGGGACTAACCTACTTTTCTTCCACTATCAGGTCAGTAAGAATGACCTTCTCCTTTCCTTTATCACCCTCTTCTTTCGTAAGAGAGATACAGACCTAAAGAGGAGATACTGGGCTGAACTAGGCTGAAACAGTAGACTCATCCAAACCAGGACAGGCTGATAATTTACGCTCTAAAGTAGGATGGTGTGAAATTCTAAATTTTGTAGTCATCTCAAGACAGAATGGGAGGCACTGACCCCAAAAGCATCAGAGCCCTAGGTAAAATTGCAAAGTAAGCAGAGTTCTTAAGCTTCTCTTAGTATTCAGTAGATATAATTTCCTTAAATTTTAAAGTCCTAAAAGAAAGCTAATCTCTTCCCCTGTCTCAACCAAGTCAAAATTTCTATTCTGCCGGGCACAGAGGTTCATGCCTATAATCCCAGTACTTTGTGAGGACAAGGAGGGCGGATTCCTTGAGCCCAGGAGTTCAAGACCACCCTGAGCAATATGGTGAAACCTCTGTCTCTACAAAAAATACAAAAATTAGTTGGGCATGGTGGCACATGCCTGTAGTCCCAGCTACTTGGTGGGGGATGAGGTGGAAGGATCACTTGAGCCTGGCAGCACTCTAGCCAGGGTGACAGAGTGAGAACATGTCTCAAAAAATAAAATGTCCATTCAAACACAGAGGCACATTTCTTAGCTACTGATTTATACCAGTAGTTATAAAGACTAAGTTTGCTTAGTGTGTGTGTATGTGTGCAAGCGCATGTGTGTGCACGTGTGTGTGTGTGTGCATGTGTGTGTGTGTGATGGTTTCCTGTTTTGATTGTTGGGCAAGATATCCTGGAAGTGGTTAAAAAGAATTACCATAGATAACCGGGTTGAAAAGTACAGAAAACCGAAGATTTTCTCTTTCCTTGGAAGTAGTCTGTTTCTCCTTTATTATGTATCTTTTTTTTTTTTTTGAGAGACTCGCTCTGTTGCCCAGGCTGGATTGCAGCACTGCAATCTCGGCTCACTGCAACCTCCGCCTCCCGGGTTCAAGCAATTCTCCTGCCTCAGCCTCCTAAGTAGCTGGGACTGCAGGCGTGTGCCACCACACCCAGCTAATTTTTTGTACTTTTTTTTAGTAGAGATGGGGTTTCACCATGTTAGCCAGGCTAGTTTCGATCTCTTGACCTCGTGATCCGCCCACCTCAGCCTCCCAAAGTGCTGGGATTACAGGCATAAGCCACCTGCCACGCCTCCTTTACGTGTCTTTTTCCATCTTCCTCAATCCTCTTCTTTTGCCCCTCTTCCTTTTCAATTAAAGGCTGAATTGAAGAATGTTTCCTTTAACCTATTATAAGTAAGTATGTATGTATGTATGTATGTATGTATGTATGTATTGAGACTTTGTTTCTAAAAACAAAACTAAACTAATATTTATGTATTAAGTAACGACTATGGTACCAGATACTATGCTAGAAGACAAAGGTAAGTGAGATCGACATAGTCCTTACCCTCACAGGGCTTCAATCTAGTGAGGAAGATAAGCTATTAAATACAATCGCAATTTTTAAAATGCTGCTTACAAAACAATGCATAGCATGATCATTTTCTGTTAATTAAAAAAATTTAAAAGTCATGAAAATGGTATTCACCAAACAGACATTCTCAGTCAGGTGATTTATAATGTTAAATGTCTCTTAAAAACAAAACTGGGTTGTTTTTATGGTCACAAGTCTCCTAATTATTTTGTTTATTTGAGGTCAACGAGTCTAGATCAGAAAAAAGGAAACTGCAGCACTAGCAGCAAAAGAATTACTGTAGTTTGTGCCTACCTAATACAACCAAAAAATGTAAAAACTTTCAAAAATACAAATATACTGTGTAGAAATAAAATCTTAACTTACTGTTAAGTAAGATTTAAAACTCTAAAAGATTGACTGAATCTTTAGAATCTTTCTCACTCCAATTTTCATTCCCTGAATTTCTTTCTCTCAAAGCTATTTATTTCAGTTTACTTTTTGAAATAGAAACAATGACAA